ATCATGCTCCATCTTCTCAAAACCTGGCATCGGTACCTGTCTACTGATGACTTGAGAATACAAGTTATTTTGAAAGAGTTTATCAGCTTTAAATTTGGTGAGTTCATAATCATTTTAGTGTCATTGGTTGAATGAAAATGTTTGTAGTAATTGTTTGTATCTCCTAGAAAATCCTATATTCTCTACTAAAAAGTAGCCTTCTACCAAGGCATCAAATATTCTATATGTTCGTTTCTTTTAAAAGTGTGTATTTTTCCCAAGTGTGACTATCATTAACAAAATATATTTTTTAAATTACCGTTTATGTGAGAAGATCACAATGTGAATGCAATGGGAAAATAATAAACAACTGTAGTGTTGTATATTAGTGAGTACTGCTGTACTAACTACCTTAAACTGGTTGTTAATTAAGGTAAAATGTGATATGACTATAACCATACTTGATCGAATCAGTAAAACATGATGCTCGAAGACGTCAAAATGGTATGACATTCGTCACCCGTAGACCTGCAGGTCCCACTGTAGCTAGCAACAAGGTGTAGGAAGGTCAATCTCATATAGATCTATACACAAATTCACGCTCTCCTTCCAAGAGACTCTGGTTACAAAATGAGCCACAACAGTGATGCCGTGCCCCGAAGTAGTGACTCACATTTACATTATAGTATTGTTGTATATGTATTGTATGAACTAGTCTAGTGTATGTTCTCTCTGTCTAGTATGTATTATGTTTTCTTTGTTTCTCATCATAGTATGTTCTCTTGTATAGTGTAGTGTATTGTATGTTCTCTTAGTTTCTCATTATAGTATATTCGTTATGTTTCTCATGATAGTATATTCTCTTAGTTTCTCATCATAGTATATTCGTTATGTATCCCATAATAGTATATTCTCTTAGTTTCTCATTATAGTAAGTTTGTATTGACTCATGAATGAACTGACTCTTGTATGTTTTGTTGTACTAGAAATAGCGAGTAGTGACTTCCTAAACTATACCTATTATAGTTTACTAGTAGAGTTGTTTGTATAAATGAAAATGTTTGTACACCTTTGTCACCCAAAGGTATTGAACTGAGATAAAAGCTTTTATGTCTATACATATATACATAATATATAATTAAGGATCAAACGACACTCGGACAAACAACAGGGTACTCTAAGTCCACAACCAAACATGGAATAGGAAATAAAGTGAGTTATCAGACCTAATTCCTTCCAACCTTATTTATATAACTATATATGCATTAGACATGGTTTTGACAATATATAAGTTTAAAAGAGTTAACAGAAAAGGTTTGGCATATAAGAACAAGTTTGACAAAGAGTTTAGTATGTAAAAGGGTTTGATAAACATTTTGAAGTAGTTTGTTTGATAAAACAGTTAAAAGTACAGTAAACTCATTTCTTTTTCAGTTATTAATCACTTGTGATTGACCCTTATCTATGTCTCATGTTCATAGATATATCTAGAATGAAGGATTAATTTATCACTTGGCTAAATACTAAATTTTGAATCACATCAGCGTTTATCAGTTGCAGTGGATGGGTACCCTCTGTTGACTGTTAGTGAAATATTAAACTATGAAAAGTTAATGACCTGTCCATATGGGAGACCATTGGAAATAGATTCCAAGATCATTAACTATTCAGGTGATATCTCTAAAAGTAGCAAGGTCCTTTTGGGTTAGCCTCATGATCCAAATAACATTAAGGAAATGGAGATAATAAGTTGTTTATTTATTAAGGAATTAATAAATTAATTAGAAATTATTTTGGTTATTAATTAAAGGGATTTAATTAATTTAATAGCTTGAACATTAATTAATCCAATAGGTTAATTGGAATATTCGAGAAGCTTCTATAGAGCTGATATGGATGTGTTTTATAGGCTCCCTAGATTGGGATATGATAGGTTAGTTTTAAATATGGATTAAACTTATAGTTTGAATCCTTTTAAGGTTATGTTTGTAGTCTATAAATAGATTATTAAGGGTAAAGCCTAGAGTTTCAGATTTATCATAATTTTTGTCCAACGACTCTTCTCTGTCCTTGCGAACAAAATTCATAACCTCCTTCCTAGGGTTAGATAATTGTGACTAAACACTAAACCTAGGGTCTATTACTTTTTGCTTTGGGTGTTGTGGGTATGACTACATTAGAGGGGTTCTACTTTAGATCTCTCATCCTTGCATCTCAAACCTTGAATTAACTTAAACCTTGAATTAATTTAATGTCAATGATTAGAGGGGTGCTGCTTTTGGTGTTGTGAGTTCATGGATTTGTGTGGACAAGGTTTGATAACTCAAACCTTGAATACTTAATATTAATGATTTCTTGTAATAAAGTTCCAGTCAGTTCTGGTATACCAGTCAAGCCTCGAAAATGATTAACTCAACAACGTGCTCAATATAAAATAATATGAAGGATGAACAATGTAATGCAAATAAGAACAAGAAGAATGTAAGAGAGAATGATTATTTGATTTGATTGAAGTAAAAAGGTTCAGAACTTGTTACTACTACAACGTTTCAAAACTCCTTATATAGTCAAGGAGTTTATGAAAGACAAATGCAAAAAAAAGGTGTGCATGGAGTGGAGAGGAACTGAAGATCAACAACCTGCCACAGTCATTGTTGTTGATCTTGTCCCCTATACTATACTACCATACACATAGTAAAATACAAAATAATACTTGTATTTTCAAACAATTACTGACTCATAACACTTCTAAACATTAAAGAATCTTAGACATACTCTTATCTCAGATTACCTTCACTTCGTAATTCTATATACGTTGTACATTCTTCAATTTCGGATTGGCTTCATCTCGGATTGTATAGATATCACTTTTCATGTTCTATCAATCTCCACCTATGTGACCTTAGCAATCTCTGACTCGTCATTTGGCTACCTTAAAAGCAAATAGATAAGCACTTTGGAGCCAGCTTCGGACCTCGATGTATTACTAGATATGCTCAATGAATTTCTTCTTGACGTGTTCCGGAGATTCACTCTTGGTAGCAGTAGTAATAAATTTTTGAAGAATCTTGGTTGAAACAATATATTTTTCAAGAACTCAGAAAAAATATTTTCGGTTTGTCTTTTTCTTTAGAAATCCAAGATCAGTTTCTTCAATGGAGCCTCCAGCTAGAATTTGTGATTCCGGAAAGATTAATGCTAGTTTTTGCCAAATGATTCTCCGTTCCGAACAGATGAGCAAACTCCAGATTAGTTCTGCAGTGTTCAACAACGTAATCCTTTAGAAATCATAAAGCAGTGTTGAATGCTCCAATGTTGGATTCAGATGATTGTTTATCATTGAGATGAGCAACGATGGTGAGAATGTCATTTGAATTTATCAATGGAAAATCTGCATCAATGATTGTGATGGTGGCCTCTTTGTTCTGAGATACAAAGTACTAGTAGAGAAGGCAATTGAGATCAAACTTGCTTAAATACTTGTTTCCATATCTAACAAATGTTGTGATTCTTTTCTGAGACCATACTTCCTTTTGTGGTTGTGCATTCGTGGAATAGAAGGTTCTCAATCTCTCAAGTTTAGTTTGGATGATGGTTTATGGATCATTAGATGGATGAAATGGTGTGAAATTGATGTAGAAACATTTATGAGGAGATATTCGTAAGTGAAGTTGGTCCGAATCCCTTTCAAGAATATCAGAACTCATGAAGGGCACAAAGTTGATGTCATGAATAATTCCTTCTCGAAAAAAATGGAGAAATGCATAGCATGGTATTGTGATTATCTTTCAAACCTTGAATCTAAATGATTTCCTCAAGAGCTTGCTTCATTTGTTCTTTTGACCAGCCCTCAAACTTTTTCGACAACTTCATTGGGTTGTCTGATATGAATGCGATTCTTTTCCCTTTCTCTTTGACTGGATCTATCAGAGTGGAGATAGAGGAGATGATTTGTTGACCAACTTGATTAATGAAAAATTCTTATAGAGTAGGAATCAAAGTCTCTTCCTATAAGTCATCAGATTTTTTGATGAGGGAACCTTCATCAACTGGAACTATTCTCAGAGTAGGAATTGGAGGAGGCATTGACTGAGTGGCTCAAAAATTATCAACTATATATTTGGTTTTATCTTAACCATTTCTCGACTATGTTTAAAAACTTCTGCTAGATTAGATGGCCAATAAACATAATAACATTTTTTCTTCTTCCGAGAGGTTTTGGTAATGGAAGGTTGTTCCTTGATAGCTTAGAGACCTAGAATTGCATTGCTCCCCAAGTCGCTTTCATTAAACTCATCTTCTGCTTCAAAAGGTTCAACCACTTCAATATCTTAATCAGATGTCTCATCTCGAAGATGGAATTCCGACATAGGTTCCCATTGAACTAGTCTTTCTCCTCTGCTTGCATGGGAAGGCCCAACTTCCAGTCCAATCAAAGCATCATGTTTCAAATCTTTTAACCTTTCAAATAACCATTAGAAGCTCATGTTGATTTTCTTGGAGATCTTATCATAGGCATCTGCAGTTAGAGATTGGGCTTTGAGAAAGTCGAAAGTTTCTTCCATGATCAACAAGAATTCATAAACCTAGTGGTTTGGAGTTTCCACGAAGTGTTGAGATGATTGAATGATCTTGATGAGAACATATTGCATAATCATATTCATACCAGACATTTTCTTGGTCTCCTTCTCCAATCGTTGGATTTGTTTTTCATGATGAACATGAGTTTTCTTGATGAGCTCATTGGTAGCAGAAATCATGTCATTGTGGATCTTCAGCATGGCAGAGGTAGTGGAGATATAATGGTCGAGATTGTATTTGTAGTGTTGTTTATCTTCATCTAGAGTGTGATTTAGTCGGAGTGAAATAAGTTGATCCAATTGATTGTCCTCGTCAAACTCCGGGGAACCACCTATCTTGATCTCAAAAAGAGATTTGATAACCAAATCAATTTTAGAGTCAAGAGATTCAACTTTTTCATTGACAATATCGACTTTGTAATTGGTTTTGGCGACATTTTCTCAGTGTTCTAGGAGAGCGAAAGGACCAGCTATGTGTTCATCCGAGGATCCTGTATCAAAAGTGGAGGTTACAGATATCTTATCATCATCTTCATCCTCAGAGTCTTCAGTAACCTTTTCAGTGCCTTGATCACCTTGCTCACCATCTAATTTAGTTGCTTGGATGTGAGCAATGTTGTTGTTTCCTTCTTGATTATCTTCTCCTTCCATTTGATCTGAGGACGAAGAGAGATTGAAGTCATGGTGAGATTCGGAGGAGGAAGGTTTTTGCAACATGTTGAAAGTGGAATGGCACCAATATATGTTTTATCATCTTCGAACATCGGTTCTTATAAGTGATAGTATTTTTATTTGGATTTGGATCATCTGAGATGGGAGTTGAAACAAGAACATCTTCAACAATGTCATTCTTCTTAGGAGGATCATATGATGCAAATGTTGTATCGGGAACTTCTCCTGCAACATATTTGTTTTGAGGATGATCATCCACTATAACATTAGGAGTGGGAACATCTGCAATCAAGTTGCTCGTCATATTAGCCATGTGGGGTTAGAGACCTTGATCAGGTTTTGCATCTGATGGAATGATGAAATGGATACGAGTTTGGATTGCACGGTGTCACATTAAGAGGAGAGTGTATTCTACTTGATCTCTTGAGAGATCAAGATGCCTTTAATGAGCACTATCGATAAAATTAACCCAATCCTTATTAAAAATACTCAATTATCCTTTACCCGTGGAAGGTATCAGATCGATTGTGGATTTCAAGGTCAGAGGGATAACTCCTAACTCGGAAATCTTGGAATTTGTGACACGGGCCACAGACTGTGAGTGTGTAGAAAAAAGTCGGTGATTCAAGTTGACTCACGAGTGTGTCCTAGGGGGCTACAAGGGACTTTGTTCAATACCAACACCACCCTATTGAGGGAATGGGGCAGATCATGTACAGACTCCTTATGAGTGTGTTAAATGTGTGATTTTGAAACTCCAAAGGATACATCAGAAGAATGGATAGGTGGGGTATGTAGTGACCTAAAGTCAGGTCGAAATCTAATATGTGAATCTCTTTTAGATGATTCACCATCTTTTGTTCTCTTTTTGGCTTTAGGTTTAGAAGGGGATGCCTTTGTTTTTTTTAGCAATTTGTTTTCTTCGGCCTTCTAACATGGCTAGTCTATTCTCTTTCGAGGCCAATTCATCTGAGACTGTGGCAGGTTGTATTGGATCAAACACAAGCGAAGTCTCAAGTTGATGTTTTAAATGAGGAGAATCAGGAGGAATACTACTCAACATTTTTTGGGGAAGACGCCAGACAGCTCCTAAAGGGGCTTGCTTAGGAAACCTATAAGTCTTAACTACTTTAAAAGTATAGTATACCTCACGGATGTCTGAGTTGAGTGAACTTGCTTCATTATGCTCAGAGTACAGATGTTGTAGAGTCAGAGCCCAAAACCTCGGACTGGGAATCTCATTTGTCTTCCTCTTCTCAGTGAACTTCCAAAAATCTTGCCAAGGAACTTCCGGTGGATTGACGATGTTTGATCCACTGGTAAAAATGATGCAAACCATGTAGAGCCAGTCCGTGCTCATGGTGTCTATGCCACCGTGTTTTCCGGATAAACCTCTAAGAATGAGGTGCATCAGAATGGTCTATATTCCATAAATCGCGAATTTCTTGAACAATTTCGCCTTGAACTCTCCTTTGTACCCAATCTTAGTAAGAAAATCATGAAAATTTTCTGTTAAGGGTTCAATTACTCAAAAACCTTAAGGTCTTTCTGTAACTCGAATGGCATGACAGAAGGTTTGCTTGCAAACATGGACGATGTGATCATCAATGATCTTGTATTCATGAACTCCATCTTCAAATTTGACTCATTAAAATGCATTGTGCAATAACCTAATAAGGAAGTTAGGGTTTAGGATTTTTGTGAGTGGGACAACAAGGAGATGTCTTGAGATGAACTCGATCATGATCCTTACAGACTCTTCGTAGTCTATAATATCGAGTGAAAATAGTTGGCTCGTTTCCCTTAGGATGGGTTTAGTCGATGAGGATGATGCAGATCCCTTTGAGGACTTCTTCTTAGTTGCAAGTTTCAAGATTTTTGATGCCATTGATGAAAGTTTGAAGAACAGTGTAGAAAAATAAGAGTACAGTTGAAGGTTCTAGGGAGATGATGGACAAAGTGAGAAAAATGGGAACAGTTAGGATTTTAAACCTTTTATATGTTAATGTTTTTGGATCGGGTCAAGGATTAGAATGATGACACCTAAATGAGGAAACAGTTAGCATTTGTTTCTGTAAAAAAGGTAATTGTCGATTCGATTCAGAAGCACTCAGTACAATTATTAGAATGCATGCCAAAAGCATATCTATTGGGAGTTAAGAGATAATCATAAAATAAATTATCGTTTAAATCATCACGAAAAACGTTCTGAAATTAACACTCAAATGATAAACTTAAAATTCAATGTATTGTTTATTTGAAAAAGATTTTGGAATGATCAGGTTTCAATATAGAATGACATATGATACTTCGTAAAGAATTTGAAAACAACGTTAGTAGTTGATATAGGTTGAGAGATGTCACCATATCTAAATGAATATTAGATGTAATAATGAAAGTAGATCTGATACGTCAAGTTTTGAAAAGCATAGATTTGAGAAGTTTCGAGAGCTAAAGGAGCAGAGCTCATGAAGAGATAAGTAACGAGATCAAGTTAACAACTTGGATTCAAATTCCAAGGTAGATTCAATACCATGATTTTGGAATGTGAAATACTCCGAGGAAGAACATTCTCAAGATCTCTGACAAGTGTAACATCCTGTTTATTAAATAAATAAATAGATAAAATTCATGAACGAATAGTCGCCCTAAATCCATATTATTATGTAGGGTGATGGTTTTGGGGAGCCAAAATGTTATAAATTGGATTATTTGGGGTTAAAGTGTAATTTTGGGACTTATTTTGAAAAGCATTTTAGAATTCATGGGGTGTTTGGTAATTATTGGACTTAGAGTGAAAGGAATTTTAGAATGTGAGGGTTATATGGTAACTTCTGGGACTAGGATTGTAATGAATCTTGGATGCTGGGGGCTGCTTTGTAAATTGTAGCCTTCAATTGAAAAAGATCTCAAGGATAGGGACTAAATGTGTTAAGTGTGCATAAGTCTTTTATGGAGCGGGACTTAAATCTGATCACATTCTCTCCATGGAACCCTAACCCTAAAACAAACCTCAGTCGCCACCCTCACTACCTTCACCCTTTCGGCCGCCTTCTTTTCCTGTTAAAGCCGGAGGACCACCGAGATACCACCACCGTAGTTCCTGTCACTAGTGAACTCGAGAATCCCAACGATCGAAGTTGTGACTATGCGCTTCCATGCTCAGACGCTCCCCGTTCTTCTTATACTTCTGTTCGCCTGGTTTGCTATCATTCACGGTGGAAGTTCCAATGCTGCCTACATCGTCGATTGTAAGCACCGCTGTTGCTGCCAAGTCGTTGTATGCCACAAGTGTGATTTGGTTCATTTCACGAGCTAAAGATGGGTCTGTGTGTGTGCTTCTTATGCTGTTGCGTATATTGTGCATTGTGTGTGTTTGTTGACCGATAACCGTAAAGAATCACCATGGCCGCCAGCCATGGTGGCTGCAGTTTCTGTCACTTTGTTGCCGCCTCCATCCACCATGGGGGTGGTTGTGTGCGTGTTATGGTGTTTATGTGCGAGTTTTGCGATGGTTTAGGGCTACAAGAGCTTTTCTTGGCCGGAGATCTGAAAAAGACCCCACCGCCACCACTCTCTACCGCGCCTACCGCCACAAGGTGGTTGTGTGTGTGTGTGTGTGTGTTTATGTTAGTGTATGTATGTGTGTGTTTATTTTGAAATTTGTGCTAGAAATTGTTGTAACGACCGAAAAATACAACCAATTTAAATTTTTCAAAAACAACCCGATTTCATTAGACTGTTTACAAAAGGTTTTCAATACAAATCATTTAGAGTATTCCCAGAATCACATTGCTACAAAATCATGAGGAGCGGTACGTTCACGCCTTCGCCTTGCCACAATCTCATGAAGAACCTGAAAAACATTAAACCACAACTATAAGCCCGAAAGCTTAGTGAGATACCCCCAAAATACCAACCACATATACGCCCTTCCAAGCTACGACCTTCCGGTCCAAAACATGTTGCCTTCCGGCCCATAACATATGAAAAATACATAACATAACAGAACATAGAACAACCATGCATATCGGGTCTACTGTGTGACTGGTCCGCCGTATCGGCCTTCAGTCCACCGGATCCATCCTCCGAGTCTAGTCATGTCCTTCGAGTCTACAGTGTGGTTGGTCCGCCCGCACTGGGCCTTCAACTCACCTGGTCCACTCTCTGAGTCTACAGTATGACTGGTCCGCCCGCATCGGGCCTTCAGTCGGCCTGGTCCATTCTCCGAGCCTCGGCAGGTCTGGTCCACCCGTGTGGGGGCCTACAGCATATCCGGACCGCTCGTTGGGCCTTCGGAACAACCGGTCCACCTTGAGTATCTTGGCCTACACCATAAAGCATGACCGCCTCAACCCATCTCCAATCCAAGCAACCATGTACACACAAACATATAATCATATAACAGTTCACATTCAAACAAACCGATCTAGCAGATTACATAGCATAACATACACTAAGCAGGATACCGACCTAACAGGTTATTAGTATAGCATCTCCCTATCTCTCAGGATACCGATATCAATCAGATCTCTAACATATACTATCCTAACTCTCAGGATGCAGGCATATCACAACAACAAAATAGTAACAACTACCCGGATCTCAATCCTATAAGGGCCGACCTTGGTGCCTTAGACCCTGTTGATATAGTGAGGATAACTCACCTCGAAACTGCCGGCTGAAAGGATAAGATCCCGCTGCTCCAACTCTGACACGAACTCCTCCACTGAACACCAAAACATTCAATTCCATAGATGCCCTTAATTGCCAAATTACCCCTGGAAGACAACTGGTCAACCTTGGACAAAGTCAAAGTCAACCCTAGACTGACCCTACTCGCCGAGTCAACCCGATGACTTGCCGAGTCCCTATGCTCAGAACTTCCCTCAATCAGCGACCCAACTCACCGAGTCACCCTAAGACTCGCCGAGTCTAACCACTCTGAGTCCACTCGCACCCAACTCACCGAGTCATCCCTTGACTCACCGATTCTCGACTCAACCAGGAAATATTGGGACTCTTCGACAAGACTCGCCGAGTCCACGAACAAACTCGCCGAGTCTAAGGCTATCTTCCACCTACTCGCCGAGTTGTTCTTCCAACTCGCCGAGTTCCAGGCCATCTTCAAGCAACTCGTCGAGTCCACCCATGTGACTCGCCGAGTATCACTGATCTGATCCAATTCAGAAGCACTCCAAGCCATGCAATTGATCCAAAACATAGATCCAACCTCCTATAATCCATCCATCACATAGAGTGGCAAACTTTACGTGAATCTAAAGAGATCTAGGCCTTATTCACCTTAGAACT